ATATATATATATATATATATATAATCTAATAAAATTTCTATTTTTTGGTATCAACAGCAATGTTTAATTAATTAATTTTAATTATACTATCTTGTATCTGAGATAATATTTCAAAATGCATATATGTATCCATAGAATATATAGTACATGTAATATACAGGGTGATATGTAAAGACCGCCCACTAAGTACATAGTGTTATTTCTTACCAAAAAATGAATCGAAAAGTGAAAATTGAACCATTTTTTCTATAACGCTTAAAAATTGGGTTATTATCGAGTAAAGTCGGGCCAATCAGCACCGACTTTTAGCCGAGCGCACGTTAAAGGCCCTCACACACAAATTGACATAGGGTGCGTTCCGAGTTACGCATAAAACGCGTAGACTGCATAGATATATATAACATATATAAGACATTTCTATTTACTGTGGTAACAAGAAATTATAATATGCACTTATTTAAACTTTTAAAATTAACACAACCACATTTGATTGACAGGCTGTCAGGCTGTACGTGTAACGTTTGTATTCTAACATGGCGGCTATTTTAATCGACCAATCAGGATGTGGAACAAGTTGGCGCCTCTCTAGTAATCTAGGATTCTGAGTATGTTTCCATCGAGGGTTCGAATTGGGTCAGAGTCGAGTCAGAGTCGGTTTGGGGTGAGCGTTCTTACGGTGGAAACACCAAACTTAAAGTTGAACTCTACCCAATAAAATTTTAAGGTAGGGTTCAAATGCGGTTCGGTGGAAACGACAAGAGTCGAGTTAGTTGCAGTATTGCCAACAGAAAGAAATTGTGCTGTGTACATCGTTGTGGTTATACAAATACTTATATATTTTTTACAATAATGAATAATTTCTGCATATTACTTTGATACTGCGAAATTAACATTATCGCTCTCGGATTCATAATATTTTGTTATAAAAATTCAACCTTAATATGTCAGGATACTGACAGTTGTAGCTGTACTTTGTACAGTTGGTAACATCTAATCTTATCGCAACCCTAGTGTAACCCAGCTCCATAAAGTTAGCCGGTCAACATTCACTTTTATAATTTTTGTAACCCTGCTCAACTCTGATCCGGTGGAAACAGGCAAGCCAATCCGACTCTGACCCTACTCTGACCCAACTTTGACCCGATTTGAACCCTCGGTGGAAACATACTCTCTAATGGCGAATTCGATTGAATGCACTAGTGCGCACTGAATGCGCACTCTTTCAGTATTTAGTATTCGGTTGGCTTGCTCTGTACTGGTTCAGAATTTTATGTGTATTCGGTTAATAGTGCACTAAAAACATGTTGGAAAACCTCCTTCTATTCCCGCTGTAGGAAACATCTTAAAACTGTTCCATAACTAACATCTTACAATGGAATTGTCGATCTTTGAAAAGGAGAATTTCCGAACTTACATTCTTGCTTGACAAGTATAAAATTGATATAGTAACACTTTGTGAAACAAGGTTAGATGAACAATATCGCCCCAACATTAATAATTATGATATATATTCTTGCGATCGTAATCGACATGGAGGTGGGGTTGCAATACTCATTTCCAATAAACTTAGATTTACACGAATTACAAACGATAATATTAATTCGTCCTGTGACCGCAATAATATAGAATACATCCTGGGCAAGGTTTGGCTTGGACCGAACAAATTCATATATATATGTTCTCTTTATAGCCCCCTTGTGGCGGAAGCCATCCTCACACAGATCCGCAGGCCTGGCTCACTCTTCTTCAGTATTGCGCTAACTTTAATCCCGTAGTCATCTGTGGTGATGTAAATGGGAAGAGTGCACTTTGGTCACCTAATATATCCGGCCCTGATCCCGAGGGACTAAAATTGGAGGGAGCAGTCTCTCAGCTTAATCTGTCGTGCCTTAATGACGGTAATTATACCTGGTCTTCGCTAGACATGTCAGCCACTTCTGCCCTTGATATAACTCTTGTCTCTTCATCCACGGCTGCAAAGTGCTTCTGGGATGTCCTTGGAGAGAATTATGGAAGCAATCATTTTCCCATCATAACTAATATAAATATAGATATCACTAATACCTGCAATAGTCCATCCTTTGATCGTCCCTCATTTACGTTAGCTGGAGTAGATTGGCAAGCATTCCAACTGGAATGCACCATATTTGTAGACCGGGAGTGCAGGTTTAGTGGTGATTTGAGTGGAGACTACAATAACTTAATCGAGGCTATTCATGGCTCACTGACTAGGGCTGGAGCTAAAGAGCTGCCTGCCAATGGCGTCAGGAGAAAACACCCTACTGTTTGGTGGGATGACGAGTGTAGGGACATCATTTAAAAAAAAAAATCAAATTTTTCACAGATTTAAACAATCCCCCTCATCTTCAAGTCTTTCGGAATATTTAGAATGTAGAAAACAAACAAAAAATTCTTTGCAAGAAAAAAGAAGCCAGCTTTCCGCGATTTTTGCTCCTCACTTAATATGAATACTCCTATAACCACAGTGTGGAAATACATCAGAGCTTTTTCTAATAGAAATTCAAATAACCCCCCGCACTCTTCTATCTCTCTGGAGTCATTTACCGAAGCCTTCAACAAGCTGTCTCCTCCAATCCTTACACCTGTCCCTAATCTCCAAAACTTTATTTCAACAATCCATAACATCGACACTGACGTAAATAAAGAATTTCTTCTCACTCCATTTTCTAAGTATGAATATAATGAAGCAATCTCTACTTTAAAAGTTAGATCCTTTCCCGGTCCTAATCTGATCTCTAATAGGATAATAAAAAGATTTCCACCAGAATTACACATCTATATTCTGAAATTGTTTAATCTAATGTTTAATAAAAGCATTTTTCTCAACAATGGTCAAAATACTTTCTTGTATTTATTCCTAAGCCAGGCCGCAGAGATTCTCTCAGACTCATCTCTCTTGCTAACAACCTCTTAAAATTATTTGAAAAACTTATCTATAAGAGAATTGAATGGTGGGCGGAGAACAGTTTGATACTGTCTAATACTCAATTCAGTTTTAGAAAGGGGCTATCCTGTATGGATAGTATTGCCACTTTAATTGCAAATATTTATATTTCTAACAAATCCCAAAAATATACGGGCGTAGCATTCCTGGATATAGTAGAAGCGTTTGACAGGATCAGACCGGAGATTCTTATAGCTCTTTTGAATAAATATGGTCTTCCTCCTAAAATCCTTAAATTTATTAATTCGCTTGTTGCTCATAGAGATCTCATTGGCTTCGCCGCTGGTATTAACTTGCAAAACCGAACTACTACTATCGGCCTTCCACAAGGCTCCATATTGAGCCCTTTATTATTTAATCTGTATATAGCTCTTTCACACACAGTGTTGCCAGACGAAGTAAAGATACTCTATTATAATGATGATATTGCAATTTATTGTTCCGATCGACGTTATCCAATCGATGTTATCAATAATCAACTTAATACTGCACTTGACAACTTATTTCAATATTTCAACTGCTTGGGACTTGAGATTTCTCTCTCTAAGTCCAACTATATGATCTTTTCCACTCTTAAACCTCATAATCTCCGCATTCTACTAAATAGATGCAAATTCTCTCTAAAAGTTGGTAATGAGAATATTCCGTTTTTCATGGCTACTAGATTCCTGGGAGTGGTCTTGGACTCAGAGCTCAAATGGAGGGCTCATATCAATTACCTAAAAAAATCGCATAATACCTAGAATTAATATTCTAAAAGCAATTTCAGGTATCCGATGGGGCGCTCATCCCTCGAACTTAATTACTATTTATAAGGGATATATAAGACCGATGTTGGATTGGGGCTGCCAAGCATTTGCTCCTTTGGAGGAATTACCTTACTTAAAGGCTAGTCGCTTGCAATACGCGGCTCTCCGTGCGGTCACAGGACTTATGATAACCACCCCAACTAACGTCTTGATGGACATCAATGACGAATACCCTCTGGAGTCGCGTTGGTTTAATCTTACTTTGAAATTCCTCTCAAAGGTTATGTCTCGACAATCGCATCTCCTAAATTTAGTGATCTCGGAGTTCCTAACCCGACCTGAAAACGAAAAAAAACAACGTTTGTAACTTGATGGATGTTTATCTTGCACATTTCAACCTTTTCGAACAAATCATGCACTTCCGGCTCCCTGGTTACCTTGAGTTCCCGTATGAGAACAGGCACCTCGATCCTATAATTGACACTGACTTGGGTTTCCAAATTGGGGGTACCGATATGACGGATGTTAACGACATTTTCAACCGTCTCTCAGCTCCTTTCGAGTTTAACGTAACATCAAAGTCAGCCACATCTGTTCTAACAGATATTGCCAAGTGCTTGCTACAAATTATTGTCAGCAAAAAGGCTACAAATTTGGTACAAGAGTTGTTATTACCGATTAAGCTGGCAGATTGCCGGCAAGAACCAAGCAAAGCTTGCTAACATAAATAGACAGCAAATTGGCGGCAGAAACCATGCAAAGCTTGCTGACATGACCGACATCAGATTGTCGGCAAAAACTGAGCAAGATCTGAAGTGCTCAATCTGATGGCAAATTGGCAGCAAAAACCGAACAGAATCTGCAGCTTATTACAAAGTATTATAAAATAGTTCAGTCGCTTATCGCTATGCGGCGCGTTATCCATTATCTATACCCGTATTCAAATTCTTATCATGAGTGTATATAAAGCCTGCAAAACGCTAATAATATTATAATATATATATATCAGGTGATTGCATAAGTTCGTGCCCGATTT